GATCCAGCTGTCCCCCCACAGTGAGAGGGAGGCTTGGAACCCAGGGGGTCCTACGTGCTGTCTCTACATTCCTCCCTAGGCTGCTTTAAGTCTCCTTCACACGGCTAGTTTCCACCTCCGCTGCATGACTGTGAAAAGCGCTGCTCTAAAACATGAGGCCTTCACCCAGGAGGGAGCGTTAAGGCTTAGTAAACCTTGGTTAGCTTATGCTCCACCAACGGAGTTTGTAAACACTCAGATGAATGGCTTTAACTTCCAGTTTCCAACTTCCACTCCCTTGCATTCTCCAGTGGCAGAGTCTGGCACTGAGGTGATGTTTGATACATGTGAGGGGAGATTCCTGTGCAAGGCCATACCTCAGTCTCCGCCAGAAGGAGGAGGGATGCTGAGGAACCTCAGCCCTGGGGCTCTGTGCCTGGCTTGGCTCTGAGGCCCCGTGGGCAGAAGTGTGCATTGAAGTTGGGGCTGGGGAGCCCACTGTGGGCTACTGGCTGGCTGTCCTGCTTAGCTATTAGTCATCACTTCTGCCCCCAGCCTGAGGGAGAGGAAAATGCCTCTGGGTGTTTGTTCTTTCACCTTGCCTGTGGCTTTTCTCTTTCTTTTGTGAGCAACAGAATGAAAGGCAGAGCTGGGTTTGTAGGCCTGCCAAGCGGATGGACTGTGTGGAGAAGGCGCTGAATCAATCATTTACAGTGGAGGGGGAGCTGTGGGGTTGGGGACGTGGTTTTCCTGCCCAGGGGTCTGTAAAATATCCACAGGCAGGGTAACACCCGCCCTCCGCCTCTGACGTGAGTTACAGGAAGGATGCTGCTCTTAGCACTTCGTACCGCCTAGTGTTATGGGCCTTTTAGTCCAAGTCCCCTCCCGCCCACTGCTGCTCCCTCAGCGCAGGCCCCCTCATGGCTCAAAGGGATCTCTGTGAAGCTTCCAAGCCAGCCTCCAGCCTCTTTCGCTCCAGCCTGCCGGGCTAGACCGGGAGTGACCTGAACGAGGGAGGCAAATGAGGTGAGAGGTCACGCGTGGCTCTGGAGTCATACGGCCTCGTTTGAATATCTGCCATTGTCCTCCGCCTGTGCGACACTGGACAGGTTCCTTAATTCCGCTGTGCCTCAGTGTCCTCATCTACAGGATGCGGGTAACAGTAGCACCCATCTCCTGGAGTTACTCTTAGGATTCCCCGGGATAAAGCACATAATTGTGTTATATCTGACTCATAGTAGGAGCTAAATGTTTCCGCTTTTATTGTTAGCAGTGTAAGGCAGGGCTTCTCAAGCTCAGCACTACTGACATTTCAGACTCGGTAACTCTTGGCTGTGAGGGCCGACCTGTGCATTGTAGGATGCTCTGCAGCAGCCCTGGCCTCCACCCACTCGATGCCAGTAGCAGCCGCCACCCACCCCCCCCCCCCCACCACCAGGACAGTCAAAAATGTCTCCAGGCATTGTCAGATCCCCCTGATGGGCAAAACTGCCCGTGTTGACAGCCACAGTTCTGAATCATTTCTTCCCGGCACCTTCCAGGCTCTGAAAACACAGCAGCGCCTGCTGGGCCTGTGGAGGCTAATGTGGGGCATCTGCACTGAACTGTTTCCCTCTTTTATGTGAGGTTCAGTCCACCGCTGGCTGGGCGCCTGAGGCGTCCCGGTGACGCCCTGAGCGAATCCTCTGCCGATTCTCCCTGTGATCCGCCTGTTTCCCGGTTGCACCACTCGGGATGCACTTCATTTTGGCTTTTTAAATAACAGCTGTCTGTTTCTGTTATGATTTTCCCAGACGCTGGAGCAATAAGCAGCTCTGATGACAGCCGTGCCGGCAGTAAGTGCATGCGTCTCTCAGGCATCTCCCCCAAGCGCTGCAGAGCCGCTAAGTGGGTAGAACTGATTTCAGCTATTGCCTGGGCGGCCGCTGTGTCTGTGGAGCCTGCCCTGGAGACCAGAGCCGGGCCCGAAGGACAGGGGTGGAGGAGAGGGGGGTAGTGACTGGCTCCCTGGCTGTCCTTGCCTTGCTCCTGAGCCTCAGGAAACCTGGGTCCTGGCACACCAGCAGATTCAAAGCTACACTCTGTCCCGAGAGAGCATGGTGCATTCAATCCAAGGAGAGAAATAGCTGTGCATCTTTGGGAGGAAGCCCAGGCGGCAGGCTGAGCACCACCACCACCACCCCCCCCCACACACACACACACACACACTTTTGCATATCCAGGGAAGGCTCTGGAGGTGCTGAGTTTTCATTTCTGTTCTCGTGGTAGCAAGAGTCAGGGTAGGCGAGTGGAAGAAGAAGGGACGATTCTTATATTAGTGTGATTAGGGCCGTTATTTCCTGATACGTTAGTTTCCCCACCTTGGCCGTTGATCTTCCAGGACAGGAGGGGTCATAGCTTTCTCGCCTCTTTTTTCAGAACCACATTAGAGGTTGTTTGTTGTTGGATGGATGGGTGGATGACTGGGTGAGATGCTTAACTGCATCTGTTTAATTGCCCAAATCTTATCAGTTATCAAATTCTCCCTCAACTCCAATCCCCTGGAGGGCGCAGCAGGTCATCAACTTTGCTTGATGGGCAACTGGAAATCCAGGCCTCACAGGGATGGTGTCAGGATGCTCAGGCGGAGCCCACTTCTTACCCAATTTAGGTGCTGAATCGTCTCCCTGGCCTCGGTGTTCTGGTCCCGTTTCCACATGAAGCCGTGCATTCTGCACTTGGCCTCTGCTCAGAACTTGGTCACCCTGGCCCCTCGCCGCTGTTATGGGAAGAATCAGTAAACTTTAGTAGTTTCCCCATCTATGTCTATGGACTCGCCAAGCCTGATAACTTGTAAGATTACCTTGGAGAGCAGATCCTTTCTGTACTAAGGTCTTCCTTCTATCCCTCCAGACCCACTCTCCACCCGTCTCCTCCCCCTCTGAGAGCCGACTTTACGGAGTGTTTAGGTCGGCTCCCGTGTTCTCCGGCTTCCAGATGGGTTCTGCCAATGGGCTGGCCCAGCAGAAGAATGGAAAGAGGATGGGAGGGTGAAGTCGGGGTATTTATTCACCACCACTCACTGTTACCCCCAAACCTTCCTTCCTGAATCTTCTCTCAAGTCAACCTTCTCTACATAACTTTTCTCTTCTAGGTTCTGGCAACTTCTCTCTCCTCTCCTCCGTTTGGGCCTAGGAGTGATAGCAGCTCCATGTTACCATCCTCAGGGAATTATCCTATCCCTTGCACCCACCCACGCCATTGAAAACTGTGCCTTCATTACATTATATCCGTGGCAGTTCCTCTGTTGAGTGTTCCATCTGTTCCTGCTGGGACCTTGATTTATACCCTGGCCTGAGCTTCTTCTTAGGTCTGAAGTGACCCTGCCTGTCTCTCCACCCCCTCCCTGGACTTCCAGGCATCAGGCAAGTGTGGTCCTGAAGAACCTCCCCTTACTTTCCCTCCTTACATGCACTGCCCGCCTCGCCCCATGGTCCCTTTCATTCCCTGCACTCAGGTTTTAAAAATCTATTAACCACCTCCTTTAACTAAAGCAAGAACTACTTCATTTTGCCATTGGGAATGAGTCAAAAATGTTTACCAGTGAGAATTTTGAATAGATCACTATAATAAGAGGGCCCACCCTGAATTCTAACCTAAAGCAAAGAAATGTGGTATCTGGATTTGCCCAGAGGTCTAACCATAGGTGGGGTGTCACTTCCTTTAGGAGTGTGAAAAAAGGGGCTCACAGAGACCTGTGACTGTCCACTTAGAGCCCTTGTTGGGAGCCACTGCTCGGGGAAGGCCAGCACTCATGTCCTTTCTTCTCTACCAGGGTCAGCAAATGACAGAGCACGGGACAGCCCTGTTTTTGTAAGGAAAGCATCACCGGAATGCAGCCACTGGTTCCTGTGTTACCTGTGGCTGTGTCCATGCTTCAGTGGCAGCATTGGGTTGATGGGGATGGCAGGGCTCTCTGTGCAGAAACTTAACACAACAGTGACTCTGGCCCTTACAAGGCTGGCCCTTGACTGGTGTCCGAGAACTTAGATTTCAGGAGGGTTCCCACCATTCCCACTCTGGTACAAGTAGCTCATGGTGTCTGCACTGGTTGTATAAACCGTATGGTTTATGCTAAATACCTGATTTCCTTCTGGAAGTCTGGAACTTTCTTACATACCAGGCAGAGGCTGCCTATGTGAAGAGCCCCCCAAAAAGCCCCTGGGGGCTTGGTCTGTAAGAGCACTTCACGGGGGCTGTCTCAGCTCCTAGCGGGGGGAATTCTGCGCGTCCTGTGTGACCTCTGGGAGAGGACCTTGGAAGCTTGGACCTGGTTTCCCCAGACTTCACCCCATGTGCCCTTTCCCTTCACTGATTTGATCTGTATCCTTTCACTGATAAATCGTAGCCGTGAGTACAGCCATGTGCTGAGTCCTGTGAGTCAGTGAATCACTGAGCCTGGGGCTGGTCTTGGGGACCTCTCCATACTCCTGAAAAGCCAGAAATATTTGCCATCTGGCCCTTTAAGAAAAAGTTTGCCAACCCCTGCTGTGCACAGTCCTAGGATGGATGGAAGTTACCTGTTGTATATCTCCTATCCCCCAGACTCCAAACCCCCTAATAGTGTCCAGGTTTCCTGCTCTCTAACTACTGGCCACGCACAGTATCTTGCATAAAGTATTTATGGAGGGAGAAGTCAGAAAGCCTGTAAATAATGGATTTAAGAAGTGCTTTTTAAACGGTGGGTGGTGAAATCGGTTTAAAAGGTTTGACCAATGCTTTTCAATGGAAGAATAGAATAGAAAGCATTTGCATTTAGGGAGGCTAAGTTTCATTTCTTGAAAAGTTTGTTTCAATTGTACATGTGGACCAGATGCTGTGCTGGATCGCAATGTAAAAGGGAATCGTCTAGTCAATTGCAATAGAAAACATATGAAGGTCAGTGGATTATAATCCCTTCGCCAGATGCTTGGGAGACACCCTGCTAACCCTCCCCATCTCTTTGGTCGTCAGCATGTAACCTCCTTCTCCCCCACCCACAGAACGTGTACTACACGAGCAGTCAGCAGATCCATGTGGGCGTCCTGAGTCCCACAGTTGACGACGATGACAACCGGTGCCTTGTGGACGTCAACAGCCGGCCGCGGCTCATCGAGTGCAGTTACGCCAAAGCCAAGAGGATGAAGCTTCACTGGCAGTTCTCTCAGGTAACAGCCCAGCAGGAGGCAGAGCAAAGGGAATGGTGAGGGGCCCAGGGGCCCCGGAGGGTCTGGGAGGAGAGGGACACTGTGGCTAGAGAGAGGTGTGACTCCAGGCAACTCTCGGGATTTATTGAGCACTTACTATATGCCAGGGGTTTCACATACATCAGTTCATTGGGTTGTTATTATTAGATTGTCATTGTTGCTGTTTTATTATCATTTTATTTAAGTTTTCGATGTAAGGAAGCAGGCTCAGAGTTGGAAGTCACCTGTACAAAGTCACACAGTAAGAGTAGGGCTGGGATTTAAACTTGGGTTTCTCTGGCTTTAAACCCTCGAATTTCTTCTGCACAAGCTCCTTCTCAGGACAGGAAGCCCAGCCTCCCAGGTATAGACAGTGTTGGGACCCTTCTGATCTATGACCCCTCTGCCTGCCTTCCTCCCAGTAGGGGTCGCTCTAGGGGATGAGGTTACCACACAGGGCAGTGTCTTGGGACATTTTGTAAAGGGCAGTCTGCCTTGACTCACTGAGAGAGGAGGCAGGCGAGAGGAGCCGGGATTTCCTGGAATGGTCCCTGGAGGTCATGGCCCAGCCAGGCACCTGCCACTTGGGGACTTTGTGCCAGCCGGATATGAGGGTTCTTGAACTAAAGTAAGTTCCCTGGCCCCTTCAGAGGCCTTGCTCCTCCCAGGAGCTCTGGAATCACCAGGAAAACAGAGCTTCATCTGTGCAGCCTGGGCCTCTCTGTGTCCAGCCTCATGCAGTTCGATGTTGATAAGCATGGCAACTCCATCTGAAAGGTGACACTGAGATTAAATGACCTGGCCAAGATCGCACAGCCCAAGCACGGCCGAGCTGGAGTTCCAACAGGCCAGCTGAATCTGACCCCAGGCTGCTTCAATATCCCAGCCCCCCAGGGCAGGCCCATCTGCCTCCTTTTCAGCCCTCGCAGACAGACGGCCTTCCCACATATGCTCCAAGGTTGTGGACGGATGGCTCAGCTCATCTGTGCAGATCTGAATGCCTTGGTGCCCCTCACTAACCTTCCATCTCATCTCTCCATCTGTGATTGGGACAGAGAAAGGAACAAAACAATGGGTGTCCTCGAAACAGACCCTCCAAAATCCAGCTCCTTCCTTCCCTCATCTCTGCACATGGCATTGAACAGGGAGCCCAGCACGATTCCTGCTCGAAGGGACACAGTGAGCAACAAAGCAGGCCACGTTGGCGCGTGGGGACGGGGCAGCCTTCGGCCACTTAGGCATCTAGCTAATTGAAACTCCCAGAATGCTTTGATCCTTCTACCAAGGAAACTGTTTGAAAATGATATTTTTAAATCCCTATTTGCAAATCCAGAGAGCTACTCTTACTTGATATTTTGAAATTAACATTTGTGAAATTTTTGTTTAAAGCAAAATGATCAGTATTTATCAAGCGACCTGGAATCTCTCCCCAAGCCCACATTGGTTAGGAGCTGCTCTTGACAAGGCCAGAGGATGCTGGGAGACTCTTAAATAACTAAAGTCGTGTTCTTAGACATATTTTCTTGCAACAGGTTTTAATCTTTGCAAATTTCATGGGGAACCTACCAACTAGAATTTTCCGGTGCAGAAGTTGGGCTGAAAGGAGCTTTTAATGGTGCATTTTAAATCTCCTTTCTGGTTGCACAGCCTGCATTATTTACTCCCCTGAGGGCTGCATTTAAACTCCACAGACACTCAGGCTGAATTAATTTCAAAATAATCTAGTGCGGTTCTCCCCCGATCGCCTACAAAGAAGATAGGCATTTGCATATCTTAGTGTTCCATCTCATACCCTGACTTTCTGTTTAATGCCTTTCCTCTAACTCTGAGAAGCCCTTCTGAATTTCCGATGCTTCCGGGGTGAACCGGGACAGCGCTCGATTCTGACACTGAGAAACCAGGTTTGACAAAAACATCTCTTAGCAACACGGACGCACACGGCTCTAAGGAACAATTTCCCAATAATGAACATTCTTTCCTTCAGTCGTTCATCAAACATTTATGAAGTACAGGGGCCTGGGCAAGAGGGATGCAGATGTGAGTCAAACAGGGCCTCTAGTCGGAGGAGCTCCTGGGCATGTAAACACACCACACTGGGTGATGAGAGCCGAAAGGAGGGGGAGGGTGTTCTGGGACCCCAGGCTGACAGAACTCAGGGAACATTCGAGGCTTGTTTGATCTAGATCTTGGAAGTTGTAGGACAGTTCCCAGGTGTAGAAAGAGAGAAGAACATTCCATGTAGACGCTCAGCCTGGGCAAAGGCAAGAAAAAGCAGAGCACACTTGAGAAATGGAAATCAGGTTTGGTGTGGGTGGGGTTTAGAATTTTCCACGGGGCATAAGAGAGATGAGACTTAAGAGTAAGTGTGAGCAGATAATGGTGGTCGCTGGAAGCCACGCTAAGAAGTTTAGATTTCACCTTAAAAGCAAAGGGAGAAACTAAGGGAGATTCTTAAGCAACAGATTGTGGTGATGGGGTCTGAGTCCCTCCGGCAGCAGAGTACAAGTGGGACGGAAGAAAAGGGGCTGCAGACAGGCAAGCAGGGTAAGGGGCTGCCCCATTCTCCCTGTGAGAGAAGAGGTGACTTGGCTGGCACGGGGGCCTGGGGCCAGGCAGCTGTTGGGAGGACTTGGAGAGTCAATTTAAGTCTATTGGCAGTAGTGATGGGTTAAGTGGAGGTAGTTGTGAAGGGGGCTTATTAATCCAAGACCACCCCAGGACAGCTTCCTCATAGTCAGAGTTGTCCTGACATGAGGTTGGTGGTTCAGAGAAGAGGTGGGCTTAGGGAACACTGGGCAGGCCATCTGAGGCAATACAGCTCTAAACGGAACTGGACTGGATGGTCGTAAGGGCTTGTCATCCCTGAAATTCTGCCATTCTAAGCTGAAATTAGACAGCAGTCCTGAGAGGGCTTTCCCCCTAGAAGCCCCACTGGGCCTGCCTTAGTGAAAAGCAGCATGAATTTGAAAATTAGCTGAGTTCTTGTTTGAGGGTCATATTTACCCCACTTTATGGAATCATTTGTTATTTCACTTCCTGTCCCTGTCTTCTGTCAGCCTGTAGACTGAAGGTCAGGGCTGTCTTCCACTTTCAGAATCTCCAATCCCTCTTGAGAAGCGTGAGACAGAGCAGACATCCAGTGTGCTATTGATCGAAGGAAGGAGTCCCTGATTTAACAACTCACAAATATTAATTAAAGGTTTCTGATGTGCTAGGAGCTAGGTTTGGGGAGACCCAAAGATGAACAAAATCCTTCAATGGTCCTCCTTGCATGCATGCATGCTGAAAATAAAAAATAAAAAACAATAAGACTGTACTTCCAGGACATTTCAATGTAATAGTCAAAGCGCCCTGCTCAGTTGGAAATCCCTAGTTCCTACAGAAAACAACTGCATGCGCTAAGTGGGGTGCTCAAAGTCACAGGGCCAATGTGCACTTCTCCCTCTACTGTAACTCCAGATGGAGGGAGGCGGGGAGGTGGAGATGTTTTATACTAAAACTAGAGGCCCAGTGCACAAAATTTTTGCATTGGTAGGGTCCCTAGCTGCTATCAGTCAGGTACTCCCTCCCTCTCCCCCGCCAGCCCCGCCTGTCATCGAACTCCTGGATGAACTCCCCATGGAGGAGACAATTTGCATACTATGCTTTTATTATATAGGACAAGTGTGTGCACGGTATGGAGTACACATTTGTATGAAGATCTTTTAAAACAGGAGGCTTTGATGAATCGTCAAGTACTCAGACTGTAGTTCATGCTGCCCCCCAGACTGGGGTGTGCCGCCACTCCCGTTGGCTGCCAGGTTCTTTGGTGAAAACATTAGCAGGGCCCATCTGGGAGACAAGGGCACGCAGATCAGTGTTCCATCGGTGGCCGTCCCCACACCTCTGCCCTGTGCTGCCTTCTTCTCAGTGCAGCGTTTATGCATTTTCTAAATGAGGACCATCCAGGACAACAAGAGGTTTCTATTAACGCCAGGAGAGAAGAGAGTTTCCAGAGTATGAGGAGACCGACTGGAGGAGTGCTGAGCACAGAGCCAAGCCCGCCTGTCCAGGGACAATCAGCTCTGATTGGTGGGGTCCAATTTGATAAATTGATGCAAGATGAGTAACCCACTCAGAACGGAACCTGTCTGCAGAGCACATTTCCCAGGGAGCACCGCTCATTCTGCCAAAGAATTTCCCAACACAAGGGAGGAGGAGCTCTGACTTTCTCCCGCTCCAGCCCCCATGCTCTGCCAGGAAGTCCAACTTTGAGAACCTTTTGTGCTGAGCAGAAAGACTCTGGTCGGGTATTTCATTGTGGCTTTGGAATAAAACAGCTTTTCATTTCCATGTCACATGAAGGGGCAAGGGTGGAACTGTCCAGCTTGGAGACTGGCGAAGCTCTGTTCAGGCCCTGGCTGTTTTCTTGGTTATCGTTAGCAGATGGCAGTCAGCACCTCCTTCTCCCCCTGCTCACCCTACAGAGATCAGGAGCCAGGACCAGGTGCGATGGCTCACTCCCCACTACGCAGACCTCGGGGAGGTTTGGAAATGTATTTATCAAGCATCTCTATGGTGCTTACTATGTGCCTGGTACTATTGTAACTGATTTATAAAGATTACTTGATCCCCATGATAATGTCATTAGGTACTTTAATTATCCTCATTCTACAGATGAGGAAACCGAGGCCCAGAAGAACTGAATAATTTGTCCAAGGTCAAATCTGGGAATTCTGTCCAATTTGGGGCCCACACTGCCTTGGTCTCACCTCTGGAAAGCCAGTGGATGGCAGCTATGGCAGCTCCGGGCTGGGACTCCCTGCCAAGCCACGTCGCAGTGCTCCTGAACTGGCTGGATTCCCGCCTCCTTAGCACACTCCCTCCTGCCACCCTGCTGTCTTCATTCCCCACCCACCACCACCACCACCTCCGCCTTTCCTTTCACACTTGACATTGCCATTGCTCCATCCTCAGTCCACTGGAGCTTCACCACAAATCCC